TTTGTTTTAACCTCCATTAGGTCTAAAAGCAGCCCTAAGGTGGCTGATGTTGATCTAATTCATTCAAGGCAGGGGCAATTTGAAAAGCAGGCAAGCAGTCAGTTCCTCTATAAACAAGCCACTTGTGCCTTGATATAAAAGGCATTCTATTCTACATTTGACACAATGTACCAAAACATAAATGATGCAACATACAAGGGCCTGAAAAACCTTTGGAAGCTTAAGTCCTTTTTCATCTGATGGGTCAGCTCATGCTCTGGCCCTTCTCCCAGTGTCTAACTGAGGAACCCACAAAGTCTTAGAAATTGGGTCTAACTTTAGGTGGAATCAAATTCAAAGGGTAGCTTTTTAAAACAAAAAGTAGGTGTGTAATCAATCCAGTAAAGCAGAGAAAGATGTAAAATCAACAATGAAAGGATTAACATGCATACATCAAAGCTATTCTTCTCTCAGGTATAATAGTTTGATCCACATGCAGGCATTGCCTCCAGTAATCTTCATGAGATTTCCTTTGTTGTTGTGATAGATCTTCTCAGGTTTGGTTCTGGTTGAGATAAATAAGAGCTTAGAGGCACGTTTAAATATGGCTTTATTTTCTTCAAAATGGATATCATACGGGGGGGGGGGCAGTTTGCTGATGAAGCAGATATGAGGATGCAGTGTTCATAAGAGAAGTGTTTGATTATCAGCTGATGGGCATCAAAGTGTCTTTAGCGTCTCATAGAGAGTTTACTCAAGTGAGGAAAATGTAGAATTGCTTAGCGCTCATTTGCTTTGGAAGATTGGCAATTGTTAGTGTAAGGGTCATACATACTGATCGGAAAAATTGCATAAAACACAAACCCCTGACGTAATGGTAGGACTTGCATGGACAATTGACTATACCAAGTCTGGTCTTTGAAATGTCAGACACATACTGATCAGAAAATGCAGGGTTGTTTTGCTTTTGGTTTACTAGTTAATCTATGAACTTACTTGCGAAATATTTTTCAAAATGTCATATCTGGTTTGGACCTCATATAGAGTTGGAGTGTCTAACCAAAAAAAAACAAAGCAATGGCATATTGGTGACACAGGATATGCACTGTAATAGATATCTCAAGGACAAAAACAAAAGGAAGGCTTTTGGGATGGATGTTAGTACGTTTGTGATAGTTGGTTGGACATTCTTACTCAAGTTTCCATCTCCTCATGTGGAGCACTGCAGAACAACACTGCTGAAGGTGAAGATATTCACATCAGTTACCATAGCGATTGATTGCCTGTCCCTTTGCATCCTCTACCAGAACCAAATCCCCAAGAATCCCACGTGGGAAAGACTCCTTTTTTTGTGTGTGGCTTTTTTTATTGCACCTGGGAGATGCATTAAGGGCCCAGTGAACTTTGACCTTGGGCCTGATCACCCTGGCAACTTGGAACACGAAACAATCGTTAAAAAAGAGCTCGGCTGCAATCCCTTAAACTCTCATAAAAGATTGAATGTATTTCATTCAAAAGACTGCAGTTTGTGGGATCTTGTAAAGTCTGGAAGCACTTTCACTGATGTATCTGTGATAAATGAGAATTGTCTGTTAATGAAAATACTTCAGCTGTGCCCTCTTATCAGTGAGTTTTGTCATAATGGCAAATTTACACACCTTTGTTTCATTAGAGCCTTGTCATTAGGCCTCACTTTTATTAGCCTTATATCAATAAAAACCCTTCTTTCATTAGTGGGCCGTCTCAAAGGCTTGCCTTCATTAGCACAAGGTTGTAAATGCTGGATGCGATTTCATTAGCAGCCCATCTCTAACGAGGAAACCCCCAGCGTGTTTACATTGCTCTGATCCTCCATGATCATTTGTTAGGATGAAGTTGATTGGCCTGCTGGTGGGGGGAATATTTGAGCCTGTCCCCCGAAGATTGGATCGTACAGTTATTGAAGCCAATGAGATCCATGCTGCTTAGAAGTGAAGCTCAAGATCAAACATTTCTGTAATCAAGGTCCTGCTAAAGTGTAGGGGCAAGGACATGATGAAGTCTGAAGGAGGAGTTTTAATGACAGGACATGCACCATCCTTATCAGTTATGACAGATCCTGAACCTGCAGATACACGGCCGAGTTATTGCCTCTTTCATCATTTTCATCAAGGCATGAAAAGTAAAGTCCTTCACTCAAAATGACTCATGATGCCAACAGGAAAAAGACATGTTCAAGGCCTCAGATCCCAAGTTTCTCAAATGTTTTAACCAATGTCAAACTATTGAATGTTCGCTGATTCAGTTGATTGTGTTGAATTTCTTGAGAGTTTGGTGTCATATTGAGATCTGTTTGTATTTTATTGAAAATATCAAAGGGTAAAGCTTCTCGTTCCAGGACATGCTTATATGTTCCTTTTCTAGCTCAGTCTTGGATCTCTAGCGTTTGAACACCAAACTGTTGCATTACTCTGTCCCATGGGAACATTATTCTATATTGGATAGCTTGCAGTATTGAGCAGCTGCTGTCTGCTTAGTTTACTCCTGATTTTGGAAAAGTAAAACTTGTCCTGGAGGCAGGGCTCATATGTTCCTGCCTTAATGTTCAGTGACATAGCTCGGAGCTCTATAGCATGTGTCATTGTTTGGCCTATAACCTCCTTATACAATCAGGAATGTTCTGTATTGTAGACAGACTGAGTGGGACTTTTTTTGCATCAAAATTTTACAAGATTCTTCCAAGACATGTTCCAAAAAATGCATGCATTTTACCCGTCCAGCCTAAACTCTTGCACAAACTTACTCAAGTTGGAATATGAACTTTAGTAGAAAAAATATTCACAGTGAAACTAAATCAATAGCACACTGTTTTTTAAAACTTTTAAAATTCTCTCTGCTTTGAGAAAAGTGAATAACTCTTATAGATATCCTGCTGTACATGATGAAATAATCAAAAGTGTATATGTCTAAAGAAAACTAGATTTGTCTCATTGCTTAAAATAAAAAGGGCTAGATTGAATATTAAATTGGCGTATATAATGTACATTACAGTCAAATATGATACGTCATCTATCGTGTTTGTCGTAGACAGAATGAGTTTATTTTTGTCCTTTTTTTCGTATACCAGTTAATTGAAAATACTTGGACTACATTCAGAATTCTAAATGACTTAATTCTGGGAGGCAGCATATATATATATATATATATATATTATATAAAAATCATCAATATAATCAACATGTCGTTTGAATGCTTGTGTTAGACAGATATAGGACAAACATCGTCATCATTTGGAAATGATACTGTAATGATTTCAGTTGATTGCTTGCTCCAAAGCTAAGTGTAAAAGCATGTATTTTATTTGAATTTAGGGTGGACTAATGCTGTTAGATTGACAGCAAATATACCACTTATTCTCTCAGACACAGTCTTGACTCAAGCTCAGTCAATTGACATTTTGAAACATCTGATCGCTATAATAGCTTAATCCTTCAAAGCACACATTTAAATAAATGGTATAAGGAATAAACATGTTTACTCCTAGTTTAATGAGCAAGTCAAAATGTCCTCCTTGTCTGTTTGATTTAATTCTTGACATTCAGGAAGCTATCAGTCCGTCTATCTGTCTGTCTTTTTTTTTTCTGGTGCAGACTTGATTTGCCTCGCCAGTCCTCGCCAGTAATCAAACCTTGGAATAACGGACATGAAACTTTCCCTACTCTCACATCCACATGCACATGCACACACTGTGCTTGCACACTGTTATAAGCAGAACATATCAGCATCCCAGACAGCTTATCATGGGGAACTAATTCAATATCCCTTCGCCTGTTTTAAATGTCATTTTCTGAGCTCATCCGGAGTGACATGTTTTTCATGGTGGCAATAAAGAGGCTTTATTGGGCTCAGAACACAGTGAGGAGGGGGAGGGGGAGGTTCCTGCGGCTGCTTTTCTTGATGTTTTCCGGAAATCTAAAGGTCCTCATGAGGAATGAATAAAGTTTGGATTTGCAATGATCTGCCGATGCCAATGTGATCCACATGAGCTACCAAGTCGATGAAGGCACAGAGAATCCTCCTTTAAGCAGACAAAAGTAAAGTTCACACAGAAGTTTCTTCTCTGAATCCACAGTGTCAATCATGAAATGAAATGTCACTCATATTCTTCAGGAAGTCTACGGTTTTTAGGGAAATAATAGTGGCAGGGTTAGTCTGGGTCAGAGTTTTGCATACATTTGAAAGCTTTTGTTTTATTTTTGTTATTTTGGGGTTTTAACTTTCTTTTTAATTCACTAATTTTTTACCCTCTCCACATTTGAACTCTAAAGTGCTGTTATACGTAAAATATTTACATTTTTAGGCAATCAACTGAAGTTTGATTTGATGTTCTTTCTCATTGCTGGAGAATGTCAGTGACGGTTGAATGCTGGTCCAAAGGGGGGCTTCTCAGTTGCTTCATTGTGCCGGATAATGACTTCCCTATTGAAAATGACCTCCTTGACCCCAGAGACAGACAGTAAGGCGGCCTCGTCCTGCGCCTCAAGGCACCTCGGCCCAGTCTGGCATTTTGCCTGCATGGAGTGGTAATGTGGGCCCTGTTTCTGACCAGATTTTGCTCTCCTCCATGGCCAGCTTTACCAAGTATCATGCAGGACCTTTTCTACTTCCTGAAGCCCTTGCCTCTGGGTGCAGCCACCAAGCTGACATGGGCAGTGAGCCGGGAAGGTGGTGCCGGTGAGGAGGTTAGAGTAAGGGCCATCAGTCCACAGAGCTGTAAATGTGAGAGGTTAACAGGGTCTCATATTGGCACGGTGCTTGCAGGAAGATATATATTTTTTACCCCGTTTACCCAATGAGCCTCAAACAAAAACCCCTAAAGGCAAACTCCGAATTTTGGCATTTGCCTTTTTCAGCTTGACTTGGCCTTTATACCATGTTGTATGCTCGGAAAGAGTTCTGTATCTCATCTCCGGGAAGTCTTTTCCATTTCTTGTTCATCTTATCTTTCTGTGTCTTATTATTTTCTCTTTCTTTTATTACAGGGTTCTTGAAGCCCCAGTGCTCGTTGGCCCCTCCAATGCAGCGAGGTCGCTCAGGAGAGGCTTGTTCCTGTTTCAGTGGCATGTGTCCTCTCCATCAGCGTCGCATTTCCTCAGGTAACTTTTACTTTTACGTAAACAATGTACCTTCTAATCCATTACTTTCCCACCTGGGGTCCAGCCCCCCCCTTTTCAAATGTAATCAAGTGAAATATTTCTGACATTTTCTTTGATCATTCATTTTATTGCCTGTTCCAACACACATCCCTCATCAACTCAACTCTTTTGGTCGGAGACATGAAACAGGGCTTAATGATGTCTTTGCAGTGATTGACAATTTGGACCTCTAAGACTGAGCCCCCTTTGAAAGCCATGCTCTTACATTGTCGGATGTTCTGCAGTGAACTGCCTGGTGTGTGGCCAGTGAAGAGGGGGCAGATCCGTGCAGAACATGTGGTTCATGCTGATACATTTATCAGTTCATCCAGAAGAATCGCTCCTTCTGCAGTGTCAGTGCTGCCACCAGCTTGTGCTTATGTAAGGAAGAGTGACTCGTTCAGCAAGACAAAATCACATAAACATATGAACCGCTCTATGAGAGCAGCTGTTTGATTTCACAGTTGGACAGTTTATGACCTAACCTTGACCTCGACCTCTAATTACTTTAAGGCTACATTTAATCTTCAGTGTTATGACTATAAACACATGTTTGAGCACAGCTTTATATTTATTTATGAATACACCCTGAAGCCCTTATATAAAGCAATGAATTGCAAAAGAACAAAAACATTGTGTGGTAGTTACCAAGTGCTTTACCTCTTTGTCTCATTTTGAATTAGCTCAGGGTTAAAGCCTCTCCATTGCATTTTGCACACCACTACAGGTAAACCAGACTCTTTTCTGAGTTCCTTGATTTAATTATTTCTAAACTACTAGTGAAGTGCTCGGCTGCATAAGTGGAAATTGGACAGTCTGATGGTTCAATTGATTTAAAAAGGTACTTGCAGCAATAATTCAATGGCCTTTTTTCTTTAAAGATTTGCTGTTGTCTTCAGGGCAACAAAACCAAATTATCACAAGTTGTAGATAAAGCTGAAAATGATAAAATTCTTTCAATCTAAGGGATAGATCATCACATATTTGATGATAAAAAACAGCATCAGTGCTTGTGTTTTTTTTCTTTGTCGTCCATATCTAAACTGCCTTGAGGCTCTATAATTTAAGTCTTTTAAAGTTGTCTGACAAAAGATGTCTTATTTGTTCTTTTTTAATAGTGAAGTTGTGTAGAATCAGAAACATGGTTGTCTTTAACTACCTTGAGAGAAGTAATAGCTGTTTCTATTAGCGCTGTTGGCTCGTTTTGTGAACTATTCTGTTGCTGGAAAATGAGAATTCAACACAGGACACTGACCCTGTACTCTGATATCTCTAAAGAAATAACTCATTTAATGTGTTTCTGATAAATAGTTTAAATGTTTTTCTTCTCTCTTAAAACTAAAAACAACTTTTTGCAAAGTACACAGTTTCATACCGTTCCATTGAAACAAGATGAGACCCACTCCACTCTCTTTCAGAGGCACATACTTTTTTGTCAAGGGCAAGTTTCAGCATGATCTGTGAGGTGCACAGTTTTCAGTATGTGTATTTTACTGAGCTGTCTTTGATTGATTGGAAATTCTTTTACTGTCACAGCCTGCAGTAAGGGTGGACTTGTTTCCTGAACAATATTAGGAGCATCTGGATTAGAAGTGTTGTCTTGCCGAAGCATGTCAAAGGTTTTTCCCTCTTCATGTTGTGGCTATTTTAAGAAACAGTGGATTATTTTGTCTACCTCAGAATCACGGTCAAAGGGAAAGGAGAGGAGGAGTGTATTTTCTTGTAGCCGTTTCAGAGCGGGAGATGAAGCAGTTTAGCGGTTTGTTAAATGCTTCCTGAGTGTACTTCTAGAAGAGGGGAAAGAACTGTTAAGTCATAGCTGCAGAGATTGGACAGCCGCTCTGGAGTCTAAAGTTTATAGACCCTGTAATAATCATGGGTCTAATTATGGAATGTGTTACTATAAATCTACCCGTGTCCCCAGATTGTGTGATTGTCCTCCAATCTTGTCGTTCCAGCAGCCCCAATACGGCCACAATGACAAGCTGCTGTGAGAGACGCGGGGCGTGTAGCGGTGACCAAGCAGGAGGTTTCAGGGAAGGCTTGTGAGCCTCGCCCGCGGAGCTGTATTCAGCAGCGATCTGCTGAACTCCAGGCCATGCACTGATGTGGCCAGGCTCTGGTTACAGCGGTTTTACATTGTTTGGGCTTTTTAAAAACAAACTCTTACTGGAAAAGAGGCTGTGAGAAAGGGACTGTGAGAAACATGGTGTCCCGGACTTCACTTATCCACAAGATCATTTAAAAAAAAAAAAAAAAAAGCAATAATCAAATTTGTTTATGACTTAAAGAAGTCATGATGGGAAAAATGTTTTTGCTTTTTGGATTTGTGGTGTATGAGGTGAGAGAAAGAAAAGCATAAAAGAGGGACAGCATTGAAAACAGGGCTTTTTGAAAAGGCCCTCACAATGCAGGCCTTGTGCTGTGATTTGGTCTGTCCTCACCGAGCTGAGCAGAGGAATGGAAAAGATTATCCGCAGGAATGTCTGGGGTGCCCTCAAACAGAGCGGGCCGCGTGACTGGCCAATGAGAGTGAGGCCTGCAGAGCGGCGGGCTAATTTTTTCCTGATGAACTCAGCCGCCTGCTTCACAATGCAGTCTGATTGCCAGAGCTGAACCCCACATATGGTCTGTGTTTGGAGGGTCCAAATGACAGGACCAATTCTGCCTGGAGAGAAAAGGGGGTGGGGATGTAGGACGTAGATTACTATTACTGCCCTCCTTATTTTATTTTATTAGCTTTAGATGTTGCTGTGTTGAGTGCCGAATACCCAACATCATGATCTGACCATGCCGCCTTAAGCTTCTCACTACCTGCTGAGATAAAATCACCAAATGTACCTTGAGCTTTTAATTCATCACTCTCTATTTGTGTTTTGTTCAAATAACAAGCAATTATGCCGCAAGCCAAGCCACATTAGAGTTCTCTACAGTCCCACTTCATTACAGTGCCTCAGAATTATCTCACTGCCTCGCAAAGCCTGCCAGTTAATTTTGAACCCATTTACATGGAGCACTTGGAAAGAGGCTCCATTGCCCCTCCACATAGAACTGGGCCAGAATAAACTGCAGGGATGTGCAAGTGACAAAGCTCCAGCTCTGTGCAAGGAATGTGTATGTGCATGAGTATACTTGTGTGTGTGCATGTACATGCTCATTGTTTTTCTGTTTTTTTAGCATCAGTGCAGCAGTAAAAAGCCATGTGGTGGGCCTCTGCAGCAAGGCAGCATGTGTTTGCAGACCTTGTGGTCACACAGCAGGGTTCGAGACCAGAGGTTGGGCTGGAGAGACAAAAAAAGGCTTAAGAGAGAGAAATAGGGGTTGTGGGTGGGGTTAAAGTGGCTCCCAGCTTCTTCTATTTCCCATAGCGGGGTCCTGCAGAGGTGAGGAGGGTCACAGAGAGGGAGCTCGTTAGCCTCAGCATGCTACGTGCTCCCTACACTCTAATTGGCTGGCTGGAGTCAGCGCTCTCCCCGGCTGCTTCCTGTTAGGTCAGGAGCCAGAGGGGGCAGAGGACGCCAAGCTGCTGATTAAGGGCCATGGCCCCCGTTCAAACTGGTTTATTTTTAATACACAAACTCCATCCAGCCAAAGTCATCCTGAGCAGAAACCAGCTAATATCTGCTTTTTCTTAATGCTAAGGGGGTTTACAAAAGGAAGAGGCTGGGGTTTGTCATAACTTGGATAAGAACTGCAGAACTGTTCAGTTAATTGGCCCTTGTATTTCATACTAAAATGATCATGCTTTGAAGAGCACAAGTTTCAAAGCTAAACAAACTCCTAATGCTGCTTCCTGAAATGATTCTGATAACTTTGAAGGAGAAGATTTCCTGGTGCAATGATAGTATGCAAAACTCTGGTCATTATTCTGTCCAAGCACAGAATAGAGACTCAGTCATTGTAAACAAGAACTTTGTGGCAATGTTCTTCAAACATTGTTATCTGTTTTTTGTACTATGAAGAAATAAGGCTTTTGTAATATTTAAATGTTTACTTTCTTACTTCAGCTCTTGCAAAGCCTACATTTGATATTTAAATGCAATATACAGTCTATATATGCATTTGCTTGTTTACATACTTAACAGACCTTGAAAAACTAGCATTCAAGTTGTTCATTCATGCTGTTGGGTTGAACCAGGACATTGAAGATGCTGGAGATGAAACCATAACATTGAACTGAAAGCTGCTAAAACACATCATAGATCTAAAGGCAGAGGGGACTCTGGTGAAAATTCTTCAACTGTTCACAAGTATTGAACAGCGTAACTCTGATAGACTTTTATGGGCAGTAGCATTTATTACAAGAGTTGTTTAATATTAGATTTTATTGTTTCCTGATTATAAAATTCAAAATTATTTTTCATGTTCTCGCCAGTCCTTTTATTTAATGAATACCAAAAAATAGATGTCCATCATGTCTGCCAATGGAATTCCCTTAGCTGCCACATCACCAACTGCTCGGACGCATCTGCAGAGATGGAGGTCTCCATGCTGGCACAGAGTGACGGCAGCCATCCACGGCAGGTCACCAGAAATCAGAGCGACTAAGCCTTTGATAACTCCCTGAGCCTTTAATCCCCCAGCAGCACCATCAGAGTGAAATGCTATCTCATTGTTACAGCTCAAACTCAGCGGAGAGCAAAGGCGAGCAGGCAGCCAGGGACACAGGGGACAGACAGGAATTGTTCATATCCCTGTTATAATGTAGTCATTGTCATCTCCACGGTGTAATGGAGGTAGAGTTGAGGTCTGCGAACTGAACCTGAATTTTAACTGAGCTCAAATTCTCAAAGGCTTTTATTATGAGTTAAAACTTGAACCATAGCGCTGCAGTGGAAACAGCATTTCAATATAAATTAGCTGGATTGCAGAATTATTGAATACCTAATGCATTTTTGAGATAATAAAAATGTATCCATTATTCTTTGTCTTTTTTTTTTTAAATAAAAAGAAAGCTTTTT